TTTCATATATAAAGAATGACAAAACTCAATTAGCACTAGGGGTAATCATTTCAGCCCGACTTGGAAATTCTGGGCTTTGGCTTGGGTTTTGTGTTCACGCCCAACCCGGGCCCAGGCCTACATTAGGCCCACATATATTTTTAGGCCAGGTTTATACATTTTGTCTATAATGTATACATATGTATACATCCTATTTTACATCCTATTATATATTTTATATATAAATATTATAACATGACTTGTATAATTTATATTATATCAATGTATAAAATAAGTTTTATGCATTTTATGCCATTTAATATATAGATATGTAATGTTTTATATATGAGTGACATTAGCCTGGAATCAGGTCGGGCTTGGACCGTATAGACCTGGGCTAAGACTTATTTTTTAGGCCCAGAACCCCGGGTCAGTCCGGACCCATGCCTAAGCTATAGCCCTTATCATAAATGCAAAGCCTAGTCTGGTCCAGACCCATGATCACCCCAAATTAGCACTCAACAAAATCAAGAAATCATCAAAAACAAAATAAATGAATTGTGCAGAATGTAGACACGGCTAGATGCTTACCGCACTCAAAGCACTAGAAAACATGATGTACCTCCGGTGATTAACACAACTATGAAAAATGGGGAAAACGCTGTAGCTCTGGAAAGATATTGTACCTTTTGGCTTTGAGAAATAGAGAAGAGGGTGAAACTGCTGTGTTTGGTTCAAATGAGGTCGGAGACTGAAATTGCTACGTTCGGTTCAAATGAGGAAGAAGAAGATACTGCTGGATCATTTCTTCGAGGAAGAAGAAGACGCTGCTGGTTTTGTTCGAATGACGGAAGAAGAAGACGTTGTTGGTTCAGTTCGAATGACGAATGGGGTGAGCAAGAAGACTTCAGAGACGCTGCTACTTTTGGTTCGAATGTGTAAGAAGATTACCGTTGGGATGAGGGGTAGACGACGGAAGATTACCATTCGAATGAGGAATGGGGTGACACTGCTACTTTCGGTTCAAATGAGGAAGAAGATGTTTCACTTGGGGTGAGCTGGCTGAAGACAACAGAGACGCCACTACTGCGTTCTGTTATAATGAGGAATGGGGTGACGCTGCTACGTTCGATTCAAATGAGGAAGAAGGGGGTGAGCAAGAAGACGACGAGGATGCCACTGGTGTGTTCGGTTCGAATGAAGAAGAAGATTACCGTTGGCCACTACTGTGTTTAGTTCGAATAAAGAAGAAAAAAAGATGGTCGCTGCTGTGTTCGATTCGAATGAAAAAAATTATCATTGGGATGAGGGGTATAATGGGACCGAAAATTTCACTTATCAAGTGGAACTGTATCGAGTTTCCGTACATCCTTAATTGAATTTGGGGAGCTTACCAAAGATTCCCCTAGAATTTATGCATGTAAGAAAATTAAAAATCTTGGTAATCGGGTTGGTTAACAAGGGAGGGAGGTTTGGAATAGGGACCAACCTATTTTGTCGTATGAAATGGTCGTGTGGTTGGAGTAGACCATCCATGATCCATCAGATACGAAACCCATTGAATTCACCTTATGCTCAGTCCACAATCCATATCAACGCTCAGTAAAAATGTTGCTATGTATTGGACTCGAGACACCATCAATCAATCACAAAGAATGATGTGTTGAGTTTTAACTCTAGTTCAGATGCATATTCTCCTCTTTCATTATTATCTAATAATGTAAGGTCCAGATGCAATGCAACGGAACTTTGACTAATGACTTATGACTATTCTTTTGAGAGAAGAATCAGTAGATGGGTGTAATTAAAGCAATCTTAACGCATTATGATGACTTATAACGGAACCTTGACTAATGACTTATGACTATTCTTTTGAGAGAAGAATCAGTAGATGGGTGTAATTAAAGCAATCTTATCGCATTATGATGACTTATAACGGAACCTTGACTAATGACTTATGACTTGAAAGTGACGTGTGTGCAACGAGAGAGTTTTGGGGTGTTCCATTACTCTCTTTTTTTCATTTTTTTCTTTCTTTTCTTCCTTCACATCCCCTGTTTTCATTCTTCTCAATTAATTCTTTGCCTTTTTCACCTCCTAACTTTTATTTTCTTTCTGTAGGGGTTTTGACAAAGGATGCTTTCTCTTTGATCTTGTGTTTGCCCTCTATGGTTAATTCCGTTCATACTTCTTTGATAGATGCAGTTATTGATGGTAGTTATGTTTTTTAGTAGCGGTTTTTGGGGCTTTTCTGTCTTTCTCGGATCTATTCCAATCATACTTTTACCATACTTTACAGTTTCTTTTGAGAACCTCTTCTATCATTTTCTCTCTCTATTTTTTGTGGATTGGAGATGTGCTGGTTTAGTACTTCACCTTTTGTTTGATTGCAGAAGTTCTTTATGTTTTCTTTCATCCACTTTTATATTTTGTTCTTTCTAAGAAATTATATGTGGGTTTTCCTGATTGGTCTTGTTGTCAATTCTTTGTACATGTATCAATTTCTTCATTTAATGAAATGTACTTTAAGTCTTCAAAAAAAAAAAACTCACGATAATTATTAATTAATATGCAATTTGCTAACTCATCAAAAACTTGGATGCAATTTCGTTTGCTACTTGAGTTGAGCGCTCTGATGGGTTTACAAGTAGGGATTTGACACTTGTGGATACTCACCTATTTGGTTGCAGTCCAATTTTATTTGTACTAGTACAAATGTATAGGAATGTAAATGTATTTGTTTTGGATTTTACTTTATTCTTCTTCATATCTCATTTGTACTGCAACTAAACAAAATAAGTTATGTTTTGAAACAAAAATAAGTCAAAATTTACACTCAAATCATTTGCACTACCATGGTTTTGCATTAATGTAAATTTATTACATTGCAACCAAATAAAGCCTAAGGCTTAGTTTGGAGGGAGTAAAATCATAAATATGTAGAGTACAAAAGTACAAAATCTTGTATTTTATATTATTTTATTTGCATTTGCACTCTTTCTAAACTGAGCCTAAGGCTGCATTTGTTTGCAATGCAAACGCAAATACGTATACTACATATTTATGCATTTTTCGATTCATGAATGCAAATACGATTCACATTTTAAACCGTTTTTGCATTCATCCTGTTTGTTTGAAATCGGTGCAAAGGTGGGGGCTATCATTAAATGCTCCAACTATCTTATACTCCAAATTCCTCAACTTTGGTCGAAAAGTTAATTATCAAATAAACACAAAATTGTATCCAAAACCAATGGTTAGACATTGAAATCTGGAAGTTGAAGAATCAAGATTCTAGTATTGTCTTTTGCAAATCAAGCAGGACTTGAATGGAATAACCTGAATCCGACCCGACCTGACCCAGGTTTTTTGCACAAGTTCGTCATGAGTTTTAAGGCTACAGGTTGGGCCTCGGCGAGAAATTTGGGACCTGACATAAACTTGGGTAGCCTGAATTCATCCAAATGTTTATTCATAGATTGGGCCATAAATCCTAAAAATATACATAAATTCTTTCAAACCCGACCAACTTGCTAGGGCTGTTCACGGGTCGGGTTAGGTCAGTTTATTGATGTTTTTTCAACTGATCCGACCTGGTCAGGTCACCTGAAATTGAAACCAAAATCGACCCTGTGTTAAGCAAAACCGACCTGATCGGTTTGAATCGGTTTGGGTCTGTTTGGATTGGTTTCAGCTCTACTTAGTGGTGACTTAGTTGCTGTTCAAGTGTTCATACAAAATTGAAGTTTTTTGTGCAAATATATCATAATTAATCAGATTTTTTTCAAAGCTTAAACTTAAACAAAACACAAATAAAATATATCAACTTGTAACATACATTAAATTAAAAAAATTAAATAAAAAAAATACTAACCTTTGAATGACTGAATGTGATGCTTGTTAGTTGTTGCTTGAGTCTTAAGTTGAGAGTTGAGACTTGAGCTTGAGTTGAGAGAATGAGAAGATGGGAGTTGGGAGAGCCAAGTTCGAGTGATGTCTTGATGTTGAGAACTTGAAATTTCAAATTTTTGATTCTTGAGAATCAAATTATATTAGAAATTGTGCTTGAGTTGAGGGGCTAAGGGGGGTGGACCAAGTTAGAAGTTATCAAGAAAATAGAAAGTCAAATTGTATTAGAGAAAGAAGACTGAAATTTGTATATTTCAAGAAGCCTTTTAATCTAACTAAAAAAGAACACCTAATTCTAATTGTAATTGGTTGCCTATTTGGTATAAAAGACCTTAGAAACTAACATCATTTGATTATTTTCTTTAAACTTTTCCAAAAAAATGCAAGAAATTATCATCTAAAGGAGGAAAGGTGTAGGGAGTAGGACTAGGGATTCCTTGTCTTATAATACTTGCCATTAATGTCATTCCTAACTAGAAGACTAAAAATTAAGTTTGGTTGTAACTAGGATAGAGACAACTTAGTTAAGTAGGAACTAAGTAGATTGTGACTACTAACTAAGAACTAACTACTAAGTCGGTTCGGTTCGGGTCAGTTTCGGTTTTCATGTGAAAACCGAAACCGAACCGAATCATTAGTTTATGATTTTTTATAACCCGAAATGGACCGGTGCTGAAGAAAATCCGGCCGACTCGGGTTGGGTCTGTTCAGGTTAGTCGGTTTGGTCGGGTTGGGTCTTCTTATGAACAGCCCTACAATTTGCTCAAGCATGTCTAATCCATCTTGTTTTGACTCCAACCCCATTCCAAGGGTACATAATGATGGTTTAGACCATTAAAATATACCTAATTAATACCACATGAGACTTACGACGAATACACAACTCTTTTAATGGATTCTGTCAAATATAAAGGAATATTTTCTAACAGGGGAGGTTTTAGTATTTATCACAAGTCTTATGGACTTTAATATAACAATCATAATAAATGCTTTTATAAAAAAATCATATTAAATGAAAAAATAAAAGCAAGTCTTTCTTTTCGACAGGGAAATAAATTGAAGTCTTTTCAAAATGTCTTTAAAATAAAATACTGGGTGAAGAAGAAGGAGAGTTAGCTTATTTTGGTTTCCAATTTCCATGCAGCTTTGAATGAATCAATAGATGGGAGAGATTCATGACAAATACTAACGCATCTGTCGCTTGAACTAATAATCTGGAAGGAGTTCCGAGTTGCTCCAACTTGTGAATCTTTGGCTTTTGGGTTATAGTACATAAGCAATGGTTCAAAAAATCCAGGCGTTTCTGTTGATTCTAATTCAAATTCCATTTGCAGCTGCCCTCACAACTACTCAGGAAGGTTTGTTTAATTATTTTTCTTTCTTCTGTTTTAAGGGGATGGGTTACAGAGTTGCTTTCTACTGATCAGAAACCAGTCTTTTAGCTATTTAAATGACCTGAATTTCAGGTTTAATATCTGTGTCTCTGTACTATATAATAAGAGTATGATCTCTTTTAGCATTTAGCCCAACATATATATAATGTCTTTTAGACGGTTTGTAGAGGAATTCAAAAGATCTATTTTGAATTATTGTGTTCTCCAATTCAGTGTTTGTAACTTAAGCTCAGTTTGGAAGGAGTATAAATACAAATATGTAGAGTGTAAATACATTTAAAATAATACAAAATACAAGGTTTTGTACTCTACATATTTGCATTTGTACTCCTTCCAAACTGATCTTTACAGAATAGATAGAATAGCCATAAAATCTCCAAATAAATACAGTACTGCTTTATCCCACACTGATTCTGTTCTTTCCTTTGTCATCTTACTTCAACCATGACGCTTCTGACGCTTACTGATTCTGTTCTTTCCTTTGCTTCTGATACTGATTCTGTTCTTAATTTCCTTT